TTTGTTTTTTGCAGAAAGAGACAGGAATGGAGTGTAAGCTAAAAGGCAAGATCATAAAGGTAAACATTATTAGCAAAAATGAAAAGAAAAAACATATTAATTTATGGTAAAAGTAGAACAAAACTCACATTTTCTAACCAAATAGAACATACATTTAAAGTGTTCTATTATTTTTATTCAGCCCCAAACTTTTCATTGAAATAACTTCAAAAAAGTTTGTAGACAAAAGAAATAATGAGGGGATACTTAAACAAAAGTCAAGATTTAGAAGAAGACAGTACCAGGACAGGGATCAATAAGGCTGGTAAAGAAGGCTTTTACTTGCTGACGTCAAGATAAAATGGGAAGGAAAGCATAGATTTCTGAAGACATTAGTCAAAGTATTCCCTTGACAGGACCCTACTGAATCCTATGTGAAGAGAATATGCCAATGGTTGATTTTGAGAACACTGTCATTTTCAGTAAGAGAGGTTCCAGGGAATATAGAATCTAAGAGCTTATGACTACAAAAGACAAATGTGGCTAGAATTGGAGATGAAGTAATGTTCAAACAAAGGTAGTGAAATTGGAATCTGTATTTGATTCCCTTAGAGGAAAATGGAATTCCGGGTAGAGGACGCTTTGCGTTTTGGAGGGTAGACAGAACAGGACATTGCATGCATGATTCCTTTCTTTTATTTCATTCTTTCTTCTGTCTTTTGATTCTTTAAAGAAGTACAAATGAACACAGTCTACTGATTATCTATGTATAACCCTGAAATATTTAAGTATAAAAACAATACCTGTGATAGTAGAGTCCCTTCATATTTACAATGACCCTATGGCACAGAGTTGAACTATACCATACGTTTGCCAAGGCTGTGGACTTTGTGAAAACAGGTGGCCACGTCTTTTTCCTATGGGGCAGCTGATGGGTTCAACCTAATAGTCTTTTAGTTAGCAGTACAGTGCTTTATTACTGTGCTACCAAGACTCCTAAATTAGATTGCAGGCAATAACAGATAGAAAGACTCCAACTTTGTTACCTGGACAGCACCTCACAGTCAAATGATCCTTCCCTCCTAATGAATGTAATAAAAAATACAAATATTCACAATGATCTAGTGTGGACACATATCCAAACATGCTATATAGGTATTCAATTATCTCTCAGAGAGTGGAACTCACCATGGCCCTCCAAGCCATGGGGATGACATCCCTGCTCAGATCAGCCACTGCACAGAGAAATCCTTAGGGTCAGCCCGAACAGGAGACACAAAATCCCCTCACTGACCTCTCACACTTTGGGGGACAGCACTGGAGCCACCGTGCGGAAAGTGTGCCAGGTCTGTGACATGCACAGTGGAGTGATACGCAAAGGGAGTGCAACCGGGCAGCAATGGGGAGCAAAGTAAACAAGCTCCTGAGGAATCCTGAAAATAGACTTCTGACATGGGGAACAAGGTGTGGCGCCTCATCAGACTTGAACTGAAAACATACACAAGGATCAGCAGACAGATCTGGAACTATCTATTAAGTTTTTTTCTTGTTTTGTTTTTGCTTTGATTTTCTTTTAGTTTTGCCCTATGTCTATCTATATAATATAGGCAAGACAAACAAGACCTAGGAGAAAACAATGGGACCATCATTTCCTGGGGTACATGGGAGAGGAGGGCATGGTGACAGGGAGTGGGGAACTAACAAAGTCAGGGAATCAGGGAACAACAAGAGATCTAAAATCGATGGTGAGGAGGGTATACAATGCCCAGTGGGGTTTAATCAAGTGCAATGTATCTGAGAGGAATTACTGAGACCTGAATGGAGGGTAAGCATGATAGTGGAATAGGAAAAAGGTGAAAGGAAATCAAGGAAAGAAATAGCAGGGGAAAGCCATTTATAGAGATACAGCTGTAAGGATGTATATTTGTAAACATACTAATTTATAATGAAATGGATAGAGACCAATGTACATATATTTATGTTAAGTATTAACATAGCAGACAGACTTTGGGTCTCTATTCAAGGCCTCCCTTAACACAAGAACACTTTGTTCTAATAGCCTGGCACTCTGACACTCACCTTACCCACATGATCACTGAAACAAAATGGGTGCATAAGCAAATGTGGTGAAGAAAGATATAGTGTCTGGGGACTTAAAGACTTGAAGCTAAACAAGTAGCTATCCAACAGGGAAGCAAATAAGCCCACATGGAAGAATCACACTAGCCTGTGTGATCATGAGGTGTTGACGGGATCAGGTATCAGGTATATAACAATCAAAACAAACAACTATATTGGTGTGAACGAGGGGGTTTGGAGTGGAGACCAAAGCTCATCTGTAGACAATTGGATGGCTCCTCCTTACCCCCAACCCTACACAGAAGAGTTAAAAAGAAGGGATGGTTCAACCAAGGTTCAGTATAGTACCAATGAAACACCCATCATTCCTCTAGTCCCTGAATGGTTCCTCCCCCCACCCCAACCATTACCATGAACCAATTCCGGCTAGACTGGAGAATACACATTGGTAAAGAGCTCTCGACACAAGGAATTTAGGATAGATAAACCCCACAGGAACAGTAGTAGGAGTAGTGATATCATGATAATAGGGGGATGGTTGGGGAGGGGGAAGGGGTCGAATGGGGGAACCCATCACAAGGTTTGATAGATAGCCCCCACCTCACCCCATAATAACAATATATAATTGATCAAGGATTCATGAGGGTGGAAGGATGGGGCAGGGAGGGAAAAAAAAGAGGAGCTTATACCAAAGGTTAAAGTAAAAAAATATTTTGGAAATGATGATGGAACATATGTACAAATATTCTTAATACAATTGATGTATGTAATAAGAGCTGTAAGAGCTATAAGAGCCCCCAATAAAGTGATTTTTTTTAAAAGTATCTCTCAGATAACATTTCCTTTCTAACATCAGAATTTCTAGCTTTTATTAAAATATATCTATATAGGTGGAAATGCATAACAATAATAACAGTGATACACATTTATATGTGGATTCCTATAAACTACTTTTCAAAACCAGTGTTAGTGTTTTAATTCATATCTATAATCAACATTTCATAAGAACTTCTGGAGTTAAAATATTTTCTCATGACTAAATATAATTTTATACAACTCAAATGCCATTTAAAAACAAAAACAAAAAAAGTATGGAGGACATCTCAGTCAGTAACTGTTGCAGTAAAATGTCACTGTGGCTTTCCTTTACTCTATGTAAAGGAGCAGAATGACAGACTGATAGACACCAATATGGTAAAGTGATACAGATAACAAAAATTTAACGTATCTTTTATTCATTGAAGGAGTCCTTCTGCACTAATGATCACATATTCTGCTGAATATGGCACGTTAGACAATACTGAACTCTGCACTCCTGACAGCCATCTGAAGAGCTGTGTTCCTCTCAGGCCCCATAAACTTGCAACATCTACACAGCCTTGCCTCGTGATCGGTCCATATCCTACCTAATTTCTTTTATCATATTTTCCACAAATGAACTTCATTATACTCTCAAAAAAGAGGGAAATTAGGTAAAAAGACATAAGCAATGGTTTATACTCTTTTTTCAATCTTCAAATGGTGTTTAGAGTTAAAATACCCTTGTTACAAGAGAATACATAAGTATTTTAGGCTTATATTATATTTCCAATTGTCTTTCATAAATTGAAGACTATATATAGAGTAGCAAGTAGGGTTAATTCTGGGTGAAAATAAGTAGAAATAAATAAATACTCTATATAAACAAATAAATAAATAAACAAATACACACACACTCTCTCTCTCTATATATATATATATATAGAGAGAGAGAGAGAGAGAGAGCAGTTACAGCCTCCTCTGTGTCGTGCAGAGCATCTGGTGGGTTACAATTATTATTTTAAAGCGGGAGGGGAATTAATAAAAGTACATTTATACAGGACTCCACTATTTTGTCCAGAAGGGTGAGACACAGTGAAGCTGGCCATTGGACTGTCCAGCACAAAGTCAACAGTTGTAACCCACCAGATGCTCTGCACGACACAGAGGAGGCTGTAACTGCTCTTGCAAAGTACCAAGCCTCCGAAACCCGATGTAATATTGATAGGTGAGGAAGATTTGATTTGAGCTAGGATGACACATAGGATCACATTGGCAAAGTGGTTAGAAAAGGGGCGGAATCAAAACAGAATTCCTTTTATGATGAAAAGATTTTTTAGAAATTGTCCTAAGGAGATAGAGATGTTGGAAGAATTTTAAGAGTTGAAAGATTTGGTGGAGGGGCAAATTGGTGAAGGGAGACTTGAAATTTTTGAGTATAAATAACCTGATGCTGTAACAATCAAAGAAAGCAAAATGAAAATAGCTATAAGGGAGGGAAACATTTTCATGCAAGATATGGTGGATGATAAAATGGGAATGTCTTCATGAAATGTCAAAGAAGCATCACAGCCATGTCTTTGTAATGTAGTCAAGGACACCAAAGGTGGCATTTGGCCTACGTTTATAATTTCTTCTGACCTCGTTAACTATCCTGTTACCATCAGCAAGAAGGATTGTATGAAAAACAAGACATTAAGTATAGTAAGAAGTATTGGAGGAAATTTTTTGAGCAAAGAGATGCCATTATATCATAAACTTAATCATTAATGTTTGTACACACTTAAGAAAGTAACCTTTGTTACTTGTGATATTTGATAAGAAAATAACAAAAAAAAAAACCTTGCAAAATTTACTGTGATAATTTTCTGCTTTCTTCAGGAGGAAAACCTGAGCAAAAGGAAAGTATTTCTTAGCCTGTTAGAGATTGTTCTAAGGAAACAAATATTAAATAAGTCAAACATCTTGTCCTTGAGGCCAATACAATGAAACATATGCCCTTAGTGTAGTGGGGAGAAGTCTTCTGCTTGGGGACACAGTGTATTAGGGAAATCTTGAGTGTTCGAAGTTTAAACAGTTGTCCTTTATAAAAGCACACTGATAAAATAAAACAATAAAACATATGTAAGTTATTCATTACTTACCATTAACGATCACAATTATATCACGGAAGTCAATTTCTCCCCGAGCTTCCACTCTGCCTTCGCATCTGTATATTCCTTCATCACTCTTATTGATGTTGAGAATCTGCAGATTATTGTTGGCTAACATAGCGAACCGATCTGCAAAGTACACAAAGGGGTGAGAATGCTATATGTAATTAAAGGTAGAGTCCCGTGTATTCTAAATTGCTAGAGTTAAAGTATAGAACTTGTCTAATACGATCAACATATTCATCAACAAACAAATTCAAATTTGAAAGTAAAATGTAATTTCCTGACTTCAATTTTTCTACTCCACACTGACTTGTTACATCTTTTCTCTTTAAACATATTCTAGACTTTATTTACACAAAAAATGGTTAGGCTATTATTTTGCCCTTGGTACTTTGAATGTAGAAATGATACACAAAAGAACAATATTGGAAGATTAGAAATTACAGATATGAAAATGTTTTAGATACAAATATATAGACTTGGCAATGCAAAAGGGTTACAAATTGTATTGAACAACCTTCCTCATTTAATAATTAAATTAATAATTTTTGCATACCCTAAGTAAGAGTTAAATGATTCAATAATATTCAAGTCATATGAGAAAAAAACTGAATGATAATATATCAACCTTATAGAGGAGTGTTTCTTTAACTAAATACAATTTAGTTAAATTAGACTTCATTAGATTTATTTCAAGATTCCCTTTTGTGTAAATATATACATACATACTTATACAAATGAGAAGGAATATAGCATTAATCCCTTGATTACTTATAACTAGCTCACTATCCAAGGTTGCGGATCATTCTGATATTATTTTCCACAATGTAGATGCAATTTTTTCTGTATCTTAGTATTGTTGGATTATGAAGTTCCCCTTTGTATCGAGTTAAGCATGTTCATACATCTAGTCCTACTTTGAAAGATGTACAAGCAATACCCTTAAGTTATATTATATTCATATATATCATTGAAAACAGCTATTGCTAGATATTTTTTTAAAAGAATTTGGGATAAATTGTTACTAAAGAATATATACATTCCACAATCATGGAACTTTGGGCAAGATGTTACTGTGATTATTGTTAGCTGCATTATGCCAGTATGTTGGCCTCTGATTCATGCTTAAGGCACCTTGTCCTAACGTAGAGCTACCTACCTAGAGCTACCACATGGGGAAGTTGGAGGTTTACTTTTCTTCACCTATCTGCTTACCAGAGCAAACATAGAAGCAAGCCAGTGTTTAACAATGGGATCCCCTATATGTGTTTAAGAATAATTGTGAGGATGGCAGGCAGTGTTTCTTTCTATCATAAAAAGGGTTGTTATGAGTCAGAACTGACGCAATGGGGTCTAACAACAACAATTTCTGTCTGGACCACAGAGTAGATGCATAGTGTAAAATGTTGCCTTGGTTGCCAACTGGAATATGCCTGAGTGAGAAGTAAACCACTCTGTCATTAAACACCTCAGAGAACAGGGCTGGTTTACCTGCCCTCAAGACAACCAAAGTCGCTGTCATAGAATCAATGCTGAGTCATTGCAACTCCAAGTTCTACTCCAAGACAGAGTAGAACTGTTCAATAGGGCTTGGGAGACAGGGTAAACTTTCTCCGGAGAAGCAGCAGGTAGATATTGTGGTTATTGTGGTTAGCTGCTGAATGATTCAATCCTTACACTACCAGGAGTCCTTTGCAAGACCGTAATGCTAATGGGGAGGTTTGGGCAAGACATAGAAGCAGAGCAATCATCATATTATGATGGAGTATATATGTGACATTGAAATAATTCATACTCATTGCTATATGTAACTCTATATAACTGTATACAGCAGATGACCCATAGGGTTTCCGAGATTATCATTTCTACAAGCATGTATGACCAGATTTGTTCTCCTGTGAAGCCACATTGCTTTCTTTGGTTAGCTGCCAAGCATTTATCCATGAAACACTGGACTATGGGCTACCATTAAAGAGACAAGTAAGTTGTTACTGGTTGTCTAGTAGCTGTCAACAAAGAAGTGAAAATATACCAGATTCAGAGGTTACCTAAGAGCGAAAAGGCTGATTATAAAGTGACAGCTACATGATTTTCAGCCCAGGAGTTTAAACTTGTTCAGAAGGATTACAAGTCCTATTGGTTGACCCAAACAAAATGTGTAAGCAGAAATTTTCACTTAGGTAATTAAAGAAGAAATATAGAATCACAAGGAAACATAATAAAGGCAATCTGCAATAAAACTATAATTACAATTCACAAAATAGTGTGGTTACTCAGAACTCTTAAAACTGTATATTTATTCAACTTCAGTGTAAATATTTATATAACTGGTAATTAGAGTGAGAAGCATTTTTAAATAAATATTTAAAATTACTATGTGCCAATAATATTTATTATTATAATATCACATTTAAACTTATTAAAATGTGTACCTTTTTAACTTATTTATTACTTATAATGTATGTGAATTAAGAAAATAGTAGAGCTAAACATTCTTTTAGGGAATATATTATTTTATACAAAAGTGAAATAATTGGATTCTACAAATTCTTATAAGAATATATTAGTCTCCAAAATCTAAAAGTTTCATCTTAAATTATATTTTCTTATTTTTAATCTCATAAAAGTTATCAGCTAAATCTACATATAAATAACATTACATATGTTTATTTAAATCAGGTTTTCAAAACATAGTAAAAATATGAAAAATTAATTTCACATTCTGATTGTTTATAAAGTAAATGAATTTATGACAGAAACTATGAACCCAGCCAATCAAACAAACAATAAATCTCACTGCCACTGAATCAATGCCAACTAATTATGTGAACTCTATAAACTATGGATATTAATCTTGATAAGAATGGAAATTCCAGAACACTTCACTGTGCTCATGCACAAATTTTGCTTGGATCCGAAGGCAGTTGTGAGAATAGAACAAGGGCATACTGCATGTTTTAAAATCAAGAGAGGAATGTGTCAGGGCTATATTCTCTCACCATGATTATTCAATCTGGATGCTGAGTATATAATCAGAGAAGCTGGCTTATATGAAAATTATCATGGCATCAGCTTCAGGATTGGAGGAAGGTTAATTAACAACCTGTGATATGTGGATGCAACAACATTGTTTGCTGAAAGTGAGGAGGACTTGAGGCAAAATGATTATTGCTTTACCACTAGCAATGCTCATAGAAGCATGAGTCAAAAGATCAAAAGATATTTTGTATTAAGTACGTTTGCCGCATAGGAGATTTTAGATTATTAAAAAGCAAGGATGTTACTTTGAGGACTAAGTTGTGCCTGAGTCCTGCCACGGTATTCTCCAGCACGCTTCTGCATGTGAAAGTTGGACATTCAATAAGAAGACTGAGGAAGAAGAGTAGATATTTGAATTGTGGTTCTGGAGAGGAATGGTGAAAGTGTCATGGACTGCAAAAAGGACAAACAAATCTGTCTTGGAAGAAGTAAGGCCGGGGTGCTCCTTAGAAGCAAGGATGGCAAAACTCCATCTTACATAATTTGGACAGATGGTCAGGAGAGACCAGTCCCTGGAGTAGGACATCACACTTAGTAAACTGGAGGGGTAGCAATCAAAGAGGAAGGCACTGAATGAAATGAATTCAAACTATTACCGCAACAATGGTCACAGGCATGGGAATAAGTTTGAGGATGGCACATGACTGCGTGGTGCTTCGTCCTGTTGTGCATAGAGTTGTTATGGGTCAGAACCAACTCAATGGCACCAAACAACAACAACAGTGACCATATACGATACAGTAGAGATGCCCCCCTGAGTTTCTGAGACTATAACTCTTTAGGTGGGTATAAAGCCTATCTTTCACACAATGAAACCAAAGGATACCACTATGAAGTATTTCCAGAAAAATATGTCAAGCTACTTGTTTCCACTCTTGTCTTTCCCACTCAACTAACTGCTTCCACCAAAAATTATAAAATCATTATCAGTGAAGCAAATCTGACTCAAAATGACCCTATAGAATAGAGTAAAACTTCCTTCCCCACATGGTTTCCAAATTTGTGACTTTCCTGTAAGGCCAAGGGCCAGGTCTTTCTCCAGCAGAGAGGCTAAGGGCATTTGGTGTGTTGTGCATAGGGTTGCGATGGGGAAGAACAACTAGATGGCAACAAACCACGGAAACTTACTCACTCAAACGCACTATGATCCAGTCTATTTGACATAACATGACACAGATTAGTACAGTCCCTGTGGGTTTCTGGGAGTATAAATCTTTATGAGATCAGAAAGACTCATCTTTCTCCTGAGGAGCAGCTGGTGAATTTGAACAGCTGAACTTCTAGGTAGCAGCGAACTGTGACACCAAAGCTCCTAGATGACAAATATACCTGGAACTTGGTCATTGATATACTCAAGTTTTGTGAGTAACTCTAGTGGCATTGAGTTATTCTTTGGTCTTCTGACCAGAGATCCATGTCTTGACTACCATCCAATTCATTTTTCTCATTAAGTCAATGCAATGATTTGATTTTTAAAGAACTATTTTTGTTGTTTGGGGTGTGTTTATTTTTTAATATATCTGGGTGAAGGTAGGTGTGGAGCTAACCCCTGAAGTCAGATCACAAGCTGATGACAGCACCTTGGGGGTGTGGCCTTTTTTGTAAGAGAGATCCAGAGGATAACCTAACTCTCTCTTGCTTCTTTGCCTTGTGCTGGACCAGGACCTTCTGTTCGGTTCATTGATAGCCTGTTGTGTTGCCTGCCCATCACAGGAGCTGTCAGCAGACCATCAACCTCGGATTTATTTAGCCCTGCCTCCTCCAGCCTATGGCTCTCCTGCTTCATCTCCTTGCTTCCAGTTCACCGGATCCTGCAGCTACACTTGTCAGGTGAAACTTCCAACATACATCTGACCTATGGACTTGACCTGAACCGAACTTACTACTTCTAGAACTGCATAAAACATTTCTTGATATAAATTTTCTATATACATACACATACATGCACCATTGGTTTTGCTTTTCTAGAGCAGCGGTTCTCAACCTGTGGGTAGCAACCCCTTTGGGGGTCGAATGACCTTTTCACAGGGGTTGTCTGATTTTTAACAGTAGCAAAATTACAGTGATGAAGTAACAACGAAAATAAT